TGTCATTTTTGCTTTATCTGCTGTGACAACCCATTAATTGCCAGGATTATTCTCAAGAAGCTCATGTTCACAAAAGTCAAGGAATTACTGCATGCTCCAGCTTTTCCTGCTGCGCCTTTTCTCTGTGCAGTGTTTGTGATAGTGACAAACTCGCTTAAAAAGCAAGAAAAAAAGCTTTCTTGAGCTTTGGATATGCCTAGTCAGGTGTGTCCCTAATTACGTCTACATGTTGTCTTAACTTCACCGGTGCTTTGAATGGGCCTGTAAACACACATGGGCTGCTAAGTATCATAATTGCCATAAAGCCTGACACATCTTGGGGCTGAAGCTGTGGGTATGCACAGGTGGCTGTAGGGGTTATTTCCTGGCTGGAACTCTTGTGATGYAGGAACAGTTGTATAGATTTTGCAGTAGGATACCAAACTGTGCCTCATGCGTACCGGCCCACATGAGCAAATACCAAGGAAACACCCTGTATTTAACCTTAAAGCGTTTTTTTTGAAACCAAGAGTACTTGGTCTCAGATTTTTAACACTTTATCACAAGCCTTAAATATATGTGTTTTTTTAAAAAATAATGCAGTTGTGCTACTTCAAAACTGTAAGTAGAACATGTTGCTTGTGACTGATGATCACATGCGACCTCATATTTCTATCTGCATGCCAACATAATGTCTTAATCACTGATAAATACCACTGTGTGGTAACAATAGTAGTTACATAAATGTGGTATGTACACAGCTATTTCGCTGAGCCAATGTGTTTCAGGGAAGCCGAGGTGATTAATTAGATAATGTCTGCACTCATGGTGCCGTAGTGCCAGCTCTGCCTGTGAGTGTGTTGGCTAATTGCCTTGCASGGTGACTTGTAATGATGCCGAGCTGAAGTAATTGCCAAGAAATGTGTGAATGGCTGTCTCACTGTTTATGTCAGTGGTATGGTTCTTTCTTAACCATTTGCCAAGCCCTTGGAAGTACAGTTCATTCTCCTCTTCTCTCATCCAGGCCAATTTTACTTGAAGGYCTTGGTGTTTCCAGAAGGGCACCCTGCAGTGGTCAGCCTACAGTGCAGTGCACGGCAGGTACTGGAAAGCACTGAATGGGCAGCCACGGTGGAATTGGTTTTGTACCCCTTGGGAATAATACAATCCCTTGAAAGTTCACCTGCTCTTGTAATGTTGGTGGGTTTTTAACAAGCTGTGCACATTAAAACTGATGCAAGTCAGCTCACAGATCTCAAGGATTCCAAGGATTCAGCAAGTTTTCTATATCTGCAGTTGCTAACTACATATTCTGTTTCTGGTGTCCCTAGGAAAACAAAGTAGCCAAATTTGGGCTGTGCATTATCTTTCCTGTTCTTAACTTCCATTTAGATACAGAAGCATGAGGACTGCTGGAGAGAATTCCCAGTTTTGGGAGGGGGTTCAAACAATGTAAATGAAGAAACTGCTCTTGCTAATGAGCCATGCAGTGAAGATAGAGAAGCCTTTTTTGTCTATAGCCCTGTTACAATTGGTCCCCATCCACCCACCCAACACCAAAGCTAGTTACTATTGCTCATTTATGTGACTTGTGAGAAAAATGTCAAGAAGAGATACCGAGAATGCATTTAACTATCCAGTACTGAAAATTTGTCAGTGGTGATCCATAGCTCTCCAAATTTAGACAACCTAGTAAATAATAGCAGTCAACCTATGTAAAATAAGCTGTCCTCTCCAATGCAGGAATTTTTACTCTCATGGCTACTGARTAATAACAAATTAAAACTTCAGATTTTTTATTCATCTTATCTCAAATATGTGGAAAATGGCATATTATTGTGCATTTAGTGAACACCAGCAACATCTCATAGTTTTGGTACTAATGTCTGGGAAACCTGATAACCAGTTTACAGAAAAGACCAGAATGGTTAACCTTATTCCATACATCTGAGAAGTATGAAATGCACCCTCGATCCTTGAATTTATAATTATTGCTGTCATACAAAAATTGAGAATTCCTTTCCGGTGAGGAGATTGAGTACTGATAAAGGAACTGAGATAAGTCAAAGAAGAACCTCCAAAGCTATCYGTGTTCTAGCAACTATCATCTCATTTATTTGAGTTAGAGGCAGCAATCTGAATTTTAATTTTCCCTGCTGTTTTTCCCAGCCTCTATGGTAGGAAAGGAACCACTGGAGACTTGGAGACTCTGCCAACTGCAGAAGTAGCCTGCAAAGAATGGAGTCATCCCTACTTTTTTGAATATATCAGCTTGTAATAAACAAGTTGTCATGGCACAGAGAAGTTGACACTTCATGCAAGCTTTTGGGAAAAAATAATACCCTGAGACATTTGCAACTGCAAGTATTTGTCACTAGGGTGATGGAAGGTATAAAGGTGGTGTTCTGCTGTGCACAGGCTTTGATGAGCATGTGAGCTGGGTAGTGTAGTCTTCAGATACYCTTGCAACTTCTTGATGGATTTCTGTAGCTTTATAACTGGTGTTCAGTGAAGTCCTGAATACATTATGTCTATTTTTAAACATTGTGAAATCTGAGACATTCCAGAGAGGATGACTCCCTTTCAGTGAGGCCACAAAAAGATGTTGAAATGCTGATCTGTCATARTTAATATTGGAGGTGTATATAGATGTGTAGATGTGTATATAGGTAGTTAGATGTGATATTAAAACAGCTTGAAAAGGCAAACTGTCCTGATCGTTATACTATGATTTTTGGTGTTTCTGCAGGCTCTTATAGAGGAAGAGAGAAAAAAATAAGAGTGATTTGAAAAATTCAAGCCTGCTGTGCCACCTGTGATGGGCATGGTCAGGATGACAGGGAGTTTGGACTGAAAAGATGACTAGCACTGTGCTATAAGCCAATTACTCTTATGGAAAGAGGAAAGCCTATTGTAAAAAAAATTAAAAGAATGTTTTCCAAGTTAATATTGTAAAATCTATTATGAGACAACAGATACTGGGCAAAAACATTAAATCTGGTCCAAAACAATTATTTCCAGAACAKATGGTTACTAGAAAATTATTATTAAATCCGAGATTCCAACTTTTAAACAAAAGACCTCAGCTACATTTAACACTTTTTTACTTATGCATGACTTGCATTTTAGTGCAACAGCAGCACATTATTTGCCTTGGAATGGAGTGTGTTCAATTCAACAAGCCCATCTGAGTAGATTTCCMTCAGTACTACATCCTCTCCAAGCCATATGGGAAGTCACTGAAATGTGCTGACACACACTTAGCTATGCAGTAATTTTGCCTAGGAGCAGGTTTCTTTCTTAATTGTTCACCACTTGTTTTTTGGGTGATATCTGTTGTGTGTCATGCAATCAAAATCACATGCCATTCAGAGCCAGGATAAGCCACGTGGGTTCATATTAGGACTTTTACCTTCCAAGGAAAAGAAGAACTACTGACAGAAATTATTTTAAACWGGMTTGTTTTGAAATATCTTGTTCCTCAAAAAACTGAAGTAGAAGCTTCATCTTGTGAGGCCCTACTTGAGGCTACAAAGATTACTTACTACACTTTTGGTACCCCATAAGCTGRTATGAAGTAACAGCTGCCATTTATCAATGCTGAAAGAAGAAAAAATGTACACTGCCTTCCTTCCCAGCTGCTGGCCATGAAAATGGATGCTGTGCTGAAATTGCTTCATTATTTCACCATRTGTCCCCACACTCAGTGATCACAGATTCACAGAATATTCTGAATTGGRGGGRACCCACAAGGATCACTGAGCCCAGCTCTTAAGTGAATGGCCATRTAGGGATCGAGCCTGSATATACAAATGTTAAAGGTGAAATAAACATAGGTGTGCAACTTGTTTRTTTCTATAGAAATAACTTTTCATCCTTAAATTATTTCTGCACAGATAACAGGCTGCAGAACATTAGCATAGCAATRGAAATATGCTTTCTTTCCCTTCTGTATGTATATGGGTCTGACAAAAAGGTTTTATGCATATGCATAGCTACAGATYTTCAAAGTGGATTTTCTTTCTTATCTGAAATCCCATGTCATACACAGTTGTGTGGGGCTGCAGTCTTACTGCAACAGGAGCTGTTGCAATATGGATCTTTCTCATACATCATGGGAAAGCTAGTCAGTGTGATGATTAATGCCTGTTAGTGGCATAGTAACATGAAGAGATGAGTCCTGAACATGCCCTCAGCTGACTGTATTTGCTGGGTATCTGGCTTCAAAGTGTAACCTCTGCAGTCATCACCTGGCCTGTATTTCCTGTGCATGTGTTTGGGTGTATGCATCGCAATGGACTGCAGAAGGAACTTCATTTTTACAAGGACAGATTTACCTAGCCCAGAAATACAAACGTGGAAGTACATGTTCCAATTTGAATACACATAGTATTTTAAAATAAAATAAAGCTGACACCTAATCTAGTAAAACCTATACTCTGAGAATTAAGGCATTTATACACTTGCAGTTGTTGGTATGCCAGCATAGTTGCTGTCTTGATATTTTAATGCGTTAGATGTATCTTTTATAAACTTGCACAAGTAGCCAATATATTATTTAATGTTCATGTTCAAATTACCAAACTTTTGGCTAAGGCTGAGTACCAAGTAAGACCGGACCTTCGGACATTGTCTAATCCAGATCTGCTCAAAACACACTCTGGCAGTTTAGGTTGCTGAGGGCCATGTCAAGTAGAGTTTTAAATATTTTCAAGAATGCAGATTCCTGAACTTTTCTGGGCATCTTTTCTAAATGTTCAGGTTTTTTTTAAATTCATTCCCCTCTCTCACCTGTCTCCTATCTGTCTGGCTCTTCCCTTGTTTCCACTAAGGTCTTTTGCCTCTTGTGCTATTGCTGTGCATTTCCATGAAGGGACTAACCTTGCATTAAGTAGTTACTGATGTCAACAAGATCTTCCTTCAGCTTCCTRTCTTTCAGGCTGAACATTCCCAACTCACTCAGTCTTTCTTCATATGTCAAATGCTCCAGCACCTCTGACCATCTGGACTTATCGCCGTGTGTTTTTGATGAGCAACATCCATGGCTGTGGTCTCTCAAGTGTCAGACAGGAGGGTTCCCTTCTTTCTTCACTTTTGCTACTCCAGCCTGGCACATGTTCCAGTTCATGCCTACCAGCACACCAAGGTTCTGCACAGCTGCTCCCCAGTCAGGTTGCTTCCCAGTCCCAACTTGCTGCACCTGGCACTGTATGGAGGGAGAAACTGATGCTTATTGAGATCTGAGGCTGTCCCTAACAACCAGTAATGTTGCTGTTATATATATTGCTGTTCTAATTACAAACAATGCTATCAACATATACYTAGATGCAAACTTTGCTGAGTAAAAAGAGCATCTGATAACAGCTTTTCTACATGTTGATTTGTTAAGTTGATATGTTTCAAATTGCTGTTCCCYCTTGCTCTCCCTGCCTATTTGTTTCAGCTCTTTAGTGTCAGTTGTGTCCCGGACACCATCCAAGGAATGCTTGRAAGTTATTGTTCTCTCTTGGGAAGATCTAGTTCTCCTTTGTTTGAAATAAGAATTTGAAATTGGAGAAGACCTCTGTGGTGATACATTCGAGCTTACTGTTTTTCTTTAAGTAAAAAATCCTGAAATTCTCCCAAATCCTGAGTTTCTCAAAGCAACAGTTTCTAAATGCCCCAAATAAATTTATTGTGTTTCTTGAGCAAAAGATGCTCAAGAAAGCTGAAATCTAAATATTTTCTTGAACCTCACAAATCTCTTCAGCCAGGGTTGCAAATGCTAACCTGTGGMGTACTTGAGTATGTTCAGCATAAAGCCAAACAGGCGTCCTCTATAATTTGTGGTGTTTGTGGCCTAATAGGGTGCTGAAATATGGGCATAAAGTTACTCACTTCCTGTCCTCCTATCCTGTCCGGGTACAGTGTGTAGACAAGGAAGAGCATCTTGAGAATGAGGTAGGAAGCAGGCAAAGTGATGCACTTTAGAAAAGACTGTAAAAGACAGCACTTGGGGAGAATGAAAGGAGGCGCCAAAAAGTCCCTGATTTTGCGGGACTCTGAAGTTAGGCCTAAAGAGATGGCATCCATTTGTTAGGACAAAAATGTGAACACTTTAGCTGTGGAGCCTAAATATATAGGTCCTCAGTGCAGAGTTAAAAGATACTACTATTGACAACCTTGAAACATAAGTTTTGYTAYGTAGATACAAAYAATGTAGACTTTTAGAACTAAGTASTGGGAARCTGGGAGAACTCAGGGTGAAGATTATCAGTGCAACTGTTACTTGATCCCTCTGTTCCTCTCACAACTAGACTCTGCTGGATCTGCTGGATCACGGAGATCGTGTGTGATGCTGTCCATGTCACTGGAGGGTTCTTCACAAGTGCCTTGATCAATGTGCTCCTTCATTGATGTCCACTTTGTTCCTTCACGATCTTACTCAGCAAAGTGCTCGAGGCTTGCAGCAGTGACTGAAGTCAGAAGGAKCTGACTTCTGAACATTCCAGGTACGAAGAATTGTGCTTGAAGTGTCTCAAGTGAGCGTCATAATTCATGCAGAGTGACAGTGTTGTCCTTAAAGACTCTGGGCTGAAACCTGACTTGTGGGGCTGTTAGATTTGCCTTTWCCAAAAGACTGATAGGAGTTCATGGAACTTTCCAAAGATTTTGCAGAGGAAGTCTTTGAGGAAATGAACAGTAGCAACAYGGTAAATGAGATAGCATGAACTGAATGATGAATATTCAATTTTATTTTGTACAACTTTTATTCAGCATGTACAGACTGTAGGTAGAGACTTGGTGGAAGTGATAGTACATAGGCCAGTGTTTAATTGCATGATCTTTCTGTGTGCAGGCAACATTGTGGTGCRATCCAAGGTCACACTTGACAGCTCCTTACTCTCCTTTTAATGTTTGACTTTTTAACATTTAATACTGTTGTATTAAAATTTTTTAAAGYGCAGTATTTTTAGAGATGCTGCAGAACTAGTATACACAGTTTACTACAGCATAAGCATTTGCTTCTCATTTCTTCCTAGGGAAGGAAGGGTAGTCCTACTCTTACAAAATTATGAGTTTATTACCCAGGAACTCTTACTCAGGTTTTCTCTTTGTATTTTCTTTGTCATGGAAAATGAAATGAAATCATTGTTGAGCCAGTTGTTAGTCTGCTCTCTGTGTAAGGCTGATGAAATTTAACTTTTCTTAAATTTAAGGAATGGTAAGCACAAAGTTCACAGAACCAAAGAATAGTTAGGGTTGGAAGGRACCTTGGTCATCAACCAGTCCAACGCCCCCRCCAAGGCAGGATCACCTAGAGCAGGTGACACAGGAATGTGTCCAGGTAGGCTTTGAATGTGTCCAGAGAAAGATTCCATTACCTCCCTGGGCAGCCTCTTCCAGTGCTCTGCCACTCTCAAAGTRAAGAAGTTCTTCCTCATGTTGAGGTGAAACTTCTTGTGTTTTAGTCTATGGCCATTGCTCCTTGTTCTGTCACTGGGCACCACTGAAAGAGTCTGGCACCATCCCTTTGGCACCCACCTTTGAGATGTTTCCATGCATTAATGAGATCCCTCTCAGCCTTGTCTTCTCCAGACTAAACAGGTCCAGCTCCCACAATCYGTCCTCATAATAGWGATTCTTCACACCCCTAATTATCTYTGTGCCCCTCTGCTGAACCCTCTCTGGTAGATCCTTTTCTTTTATGTACTGAGGAGCCCAGAATGTGTTCAGTGTAGTCCATAAAAAACATCGTTTGCTCTTTCCAAATGTAGATGATAAACAGAATAAACTACTGAACACCCCCGTTTTTCCATGCTGTCTAGAAAGGGGTCTACTATTTCCAGACAGGAAGGGTAGATATTCTCACTGCCTAAGTGCCTCTAGGCCAACTTGGCCATACAGTTTTAAAGCAAGGTMAATCTGAAAACCTGACTTTCAAACTGTACCACACGTTTTACTTTTTACTTTTCAGATGGAGATTCTTCATCTTGATGTTGTAGCATGAGGTGAAAGTCTTGATATTATTATTGCTAAGGAAGGACATGGRAAAATTTGAATTTCCTAAAACTTTCTCTGTGTGATTGAGTTGAATCTATGTGGTTTATGGTTTAAATTCAATTAACTTGCATATGTGCATTCCTGAATGAAGGCTCTTCTCTCAGGATATTAATTGCTWGTAAAAGAATTGGTTTAAGTTGAAATGCACCTTTTTTTCTTCAGTATAAGGGTGATCCTAATCAGGACACCTATCTAGACCAGTATATACCCCCAATGAAATCTTATGAGCCCAAGAAGCTGTGTCTGCTGACAGTGATGGAATCTTTCCGATCACCTTCCCGACATCTTTAACACATCTAACAGTCCCATGACACAGATTATAAATTTGCAGCTTTAGTTCATATTAGATTTAGGTCTATTATACTGGGTATGTACACAGGTGACTTTTCTTAACCTGGGAATAATTGATGAWCCTATGAAGGGATGTGCTGTTCACAGTGGAAAGCATGTTTGTTAATGCTGTGAATATACTTTAATTCCTAGAAAACCAAAAATCAGTCCTCCAAATAGAGGGATCTAGAGATATCCTGCTTGGTGATGCTTCTTAAATTGATTCTCTTTCCTACTGATTTAAAGGAGGTCATGGGATGTACAGCACTTGTGATGAAAAATTTTCATCTTCCTGCTTGCTGAAACTGTTGATGCAGGGTCCRTGCTGAAGTTTTCAGAATTCATGTTCTACAAAGACTATAGGTCTAGATTTCACATAAGCAATRTGCTTTAAGGAGACTTATGTTTTGTTACCATGAAACTGGTCTGCCCAGATTACTCATTTTGTGGTTKTTAAATGAAATTTGTAGTTAAGCATGTCTGAGGCAAACAGAAAATGGATCCTGATCAGTAACAAATARAGTGTCACTTCATTGCTTCAGTAAGGTGTTTGCATTATACAAAAAAAAGAAGGGTTGGATGGATGGCTTTAATTATAAAGTGCTGCCGTTGCTGTGGGTTTTTTTGATACCTGATACTCTGTGGTCAATGATAGCATCTGGAGACACTGAAGTTGCTTGTCTTTTTTTTTT